CTGGGCAGCGCGTTGTGCCCTTCGGGTCGTGTTTTAGGAACCGTTTCAGTTCAGCACTGAGAGTCCCGCGATCTGTGTTGTATTCATTACATGGAGGGTTGCCTCAACGTGTGTCAAGCAGTTCGAGAGCAGGCGCCGAAACCCAATGCTTGGCGGTACGTTGGTGAAGCCACATGCTGTGATGGTAGACTTATTTAGGGTGTTACGGATGTGGGCCCACTGGCTATAAACGTTCGAGGATGACACACTGTATAGATCAGCAGCCAACTTGTTTTGGTAGGCGGTTACCACTACCACAACTGGGAAGATGATTATGGTTTGTACATTGGTGCAGTATACGCGACTTTTCAACATAAATGAAACGTCACGTCACGTTTAAGTTCTGCGTACGCCGCTCGAGCCTTGAAAATGCATGCGGTTATCTTTGCTGCGCTGTCGTCGATCACGCAGATACCCAAATAAGAGAAGCAGTCAATTTCAGCTGATTCCTGACCGTCTAGTTTCACAACGGGACTAGGCTACACCCAGCCTTACAGTATCACTTTGCATTTTGGAAATGAAAAGAGTATGCCGAACGGAACGACCGAATTTGCTTATCAGTCAAGTGCTCTTTGTGCGTCCTTCATACATTTGAACAGGCAAACGACGTCAGCGTACTCGAGGTCGCACAGCTTTCCTCTAGTTGCCCATTCAATACCAACGGTTTGGCTGGTGGTGAACCTTTTGCAAACATATTGCCAAGCTCCACAAACAGGCAAAATGGAAGTCCGCGACAAATATTTCCAAGGTGCGAGCGAGTGTTGTCTGAGTGCCAACTTGTATAACGATAAAACGTTGAGAGTGGCTAACTTCAGCTGCGATCGGGACTAGAGTGTTGTTTTCCGAACGACCTGAGCGGGTGCTTGCTTCTTTCGCATGTGCAAAAGAGTGTGGGTTGTTTTATTGTCTTGGGCAACATACTGATGAAAATTTGAAGTAATGGGTGGTAAACCGAGAATAAGGAAGCTCAACATTTGTGGAATGGAAAGAATGTGATCTGTTAGTGCGGTAAGATGGAAATTTGTGGAGCTGACCACCTACACCTCGGTCGAGGAACGCATCGTTTCTGAGGACAAAGTCTGTATAATGTATCTGTATAATGTGTGTTCGTAGGTTGTGTGGGCGTGGTACTTGCTGGTTTTCCTAACCGAGAAAGTGGGATACCCTCGGGGACCTCACCCGAAGCTTTTGGCTATAAAGCCGGACTTGCAAGACAACAGGACGGAGCTCAGAGTCCGCAGTCTGTTTGGGTCTGGTATCCAGTTCATCAGATTCCATTCCCTTTGGACGGGGTCGAACGTCCAAGGTGCCCAACACACCGATACCCAAAGGAGCCGGTGACCACTGCGTTTTCCAGAAATGTGCTCGTGGTTCGTACGCATGCTCTCGGTTAGTTTGGAATCAGGGTTTTAACCAACTCCCCTGGGTGAACTGGCAACGGTCCCCCGACCCGGTTGTAACCCCTAGTTGCTGGCTTTTCTTCCTCTCACACCGCCACGGGAAGGTGGCGAGTAAAGCTTCCGTAGTAGAGGCTGTTTGAGACGTTTGGTCGTATGAAAGGATTTTGCGAGGTGTAAGAGAAGGGTGACCAAGCACAACTCGACACCCACCCCCGATTAAACTGAGGGTTTCGGAGGCGATTCATGATACCTAGTGCTTCTATTCATTTTGGTATCAACGAGCAATTCAGAAAAAATGTGATGATTTGTTCGCGAAATCTGTCTAACGTAGCATGTCTCGCCAGTCCGACTGACTGATCCAAATAACATCTTTTATTTCCTCTGCATAGGTTCGTTTACCACTGAAATTTCCCAAAGTCACTCAGACCGGAATTTGTTCGCCTGCTCTTCATTTTTTTGCATTTTTGTANCCAAGATGTGATGAACCGTACGCGTCAGCTGGAGTTGGAAAATGCCAATTAACATCAAGAATGTGCCGACCACAAGCAAAAGATAGAACAATTGTCTGGTAAACTCAGCGAGATCAAGGATCGCCGAATGGTCTGTACAGAGGTTGAAACTTTGCGTTCGAAATTGCGTGATGTCGAGGCACAAGTAAGTCCACTTTTGTGTTAACCTGTTGAAACGAGTGTACTATCACACTATACACCGACATGCATGGCACATCCCGTTTCACTCAGCTCAGTTTGACTACTGCCTTTTGCAAGGGAACTGTTTTCGCACCTGAGAAAGAAATAGTTCGTTCCTTTGTTAAAGTTATACCAATCCGAATGCTTCACCTGACTGTGATGCGTTATCTCGTGTTACCCTACGTAATACCTGTATTTCGTCTGATTTGTGCTTCCCAACCGAGCGTAAGTTTACTTTTTCATTGTTTATTCATTCAGCTGTCCAGTTTCCAATAATTTATGTAATCGAGCTAATTGAGTTTAGTCCAGATAATAAGTAGAGCACAACACCACTGGCCCTCTTTTTGTTCGCTTGCATGCCAAAATATTATCTGGAAGTACTATCTTACGGTCTCATTTTATGTTCGATGCTTGTGCCGCTAATGAAATTGAACTAGTCTTCCCATTCGCTGATCGTTTGTACGCATACTTTTATATCCATGGAGCAAGACGAAACTACGCTGTTTTAGATAAGCAATTGACGAATCTGTGATTGTAGCTAAATCATGGTAACTGTTTGCCATGACACGTATAATCTTCGGTCCAGACTTGTTCCTGGTCCCAGGCACTCATTTGCATTCGCGGATAACACCTGTAGTGCATGCATGTAGTTTCGGGTAATGGATTGCATTTTGCCTGTTTATCATTCCGGGCAGCTTGTTTACAAGCATTCACATTTGGTCGCAATGCAATCATTGTTTCACTGAATTCCACAGTTTTTAATTTTCGCTCTGTGACATACTTGTTTTACACTAATTTATTTGTTTGGATCACATTATTTACCAATGCCACACCTAACCTATCGGGGCCTTATGTGGTTCGCCATTCCAAATCCCGGGGCTTAAATTGCCAGTTTCCACCACTGAGCAGCAGGTCCTCGTGACTATAGGGTTCGCCCTGTCTGCTGTTCATCAAATAATAATAATTAATATATAATATAAAATATATATAATAAAAAAATGTAAACCGAGGCATTAGATTTCCCATTGGTGCTGTTGAAAGCAACCAAACATGTCAGATTGTAGATATACAAATCAAGGCATTAGCACAATAATGGGTTTATATACATCACTAATACCGTATCTGTCGAGCAGCGGCACTTGACTACATCGCTTTCTTACTGTTGGAGTGTTCAATATCACAGTATAGCATTGATTGTTTTTGTTTTTCTTCTCTGTGATCAAGTTGGCTCAGCAGTTATTAGAGCGAGAAACAGCGGAGAAAGATGCACGGCGTCAGCAAGAACTGTACAGTCAATTAAAGCTACAACAAACAGTACAAGAAAAACGTCGAGCTCATAATGCTAGACACAGTTCTACTAATATGGATCCAAAACATCTCGGTTCGCAGATGCGCCTAAATGCTCTGCATTCGGGCGATGAGATAGAATGCGAAGATCCAGCCCTTGCCCGCGTTGGTTCAAAAGATTCAGTGGGTAAGTTGTATGTTGCTACTTCCTGATTTCGGTGTTGTTGTTTGACACCATTCAGTTCGTCGCTGATTGTCGGAACAGCATTATTAATAACAATTATGATATTTGGCATTTGTTACACGATACAAATGGTAAACTTCATAATTTAATAGAGTAACGTAGTCACAAAAGATCTTACCGAACTGGTAATGGGTTGCCGTCTTTTGGTTACCCATTTTGGTAGAGGAATAGACGGAAGAAGTTGAAAGCTGAAAGCAGTACCAGGTTAAGGACGTGTAAAGCAGTCTAAAAGATTGCCGAAAGATTGAGTGTGACCATCACTTCTCCAACTGAAGGTGCTTCACCATAAGAAGTTGCGGATCTCCAAATCGATGAGCCGCTAAAGCATCGTGAGAGTTATTTCATTTTTCCGGTTGCATTTCTTCCTATGCTGAACGCAGGCTCCGAATTAATTTTAATTTCTGTGAGGCACACTTCGTACGTGCATTCTTTTGATTAAAAGAACGGAATTTCCTTTATTGACTGCCTTGCATTTTTATTTAACTCATAACATTCAAATAAAGTGAGTGAGACATGTGCTTGTGTTCATTGTCGTCATTATCCTGTAACGCAACAGCGGCCACGTGAAATAAGTATCTGTTGTTTCCGATTGGTCCAACTGTCACAAAAGGTACTCTGTGAGTCGTAGATATGGGATAGCACCACAAGAGAATCTCGTGAATGTCTGCGCTTGAATCCCATGAATACATTACTCTGTCGCTCGGCTGAGGAGTTCAGAGCAAAGGTCATAGATTTTTTTCCTTAGCCCACTATGAAAAGAGGTTAGATAAAGTGACTGTTTTATAAGATGTCTCCTATTCCCGTTATTTTCATACGCTGTGATATAACATGGTACTAAAATCCCTATAGCAATACTTATAGCTGTCAGTGTAATCGAGTGTCATTCAGCCAAACTCTAGCATTCAGTTCGTGCAGGATTTTGGCGATGCAGTTGTCTAGTCGCTGTCACCGAGTGCTTTGGACCCTGTGGTTCGAGGTTCGAACCCCAGGTCCACCCAACTTTGCTGATGGATTGCTCTGCTGTCGTCCGGTTCAGTACGTCGCCTAACCAAGCGCGGCCGTATGCGGTTCACCACTTCAAGTCCCGGGGCTTTCGTTGCCGATTTCCATCCGGCAGCAGATCTTTACGACTATAAGGTCCACTCCGTCTGCTATTCATCGCACAAATGTCATGAAAAGTCATTCCCATAAATCTCCAATTTCCATTGAGATCACCGGCTCATGACAAAGTACTGAAAATCGGTTCTCGCAGCTCGGATGAACTGAAATCTATTTCGCCTGTTCACCGAGTTTGGAAATTTGTTTGCAAACGTTTCATCACCAGCCGAAGTGATATCATCAGTGCTTGTGAAGTGGCAGTCTTCTGCTTGTATCTGTTCATTTATGTGTTTTTCTCCACCGACCATTTTTATCCCTGGTTCTCATTGTCTTCGACTCGGTTCGCCGTTAAGTTGGTGAAGAAGTCGCAACTGGAAAGAACACACAACCTCATCAATAACGCATTCAATGGTATCAAGTTCACGGAGAAGGATAAACAACTGGCTTTTTTTGAACATTTTGATCATCAGAACGCCATCAGGAAAACTGGAGACAACGGTCTACCGCAAAGCAGCGGATCAAATTGTAAAGTAATCATTCACACAGTCACAAAAGGTGCTATGTTAGAACCTTTTTGGGAAGAATCCAAACGCACTGCAGCAATGACATGACAAGAAGACAGAAGAAAATTATCTCCTCAAAGTGTTTGCTCGCAACAGCTACACCCGCAACTTCATCAAAAGAACTCTAGCTCAAAGAAAGAAAGAAACAACAGACGGAGAATCCGGAACAAGAACGACCCTGCCGTACATCAAGGACGTTTTGGAAATGACGGCAAGACTGCTCAGATCATATGGAATCCAAGTCGCTCACAAACCTACCGCCTGTCTAAGGAAACTTCCGTCAAAACTAAAGGAGAGAACAATGGAGGGGGACAAGAGCAGTGTTATCTACAAAATAATCTGCAAGAATTGCTCAAAGCACTGTCGGACAAACTGAGAGAAAACTGTCCACAAGGATCCGTGAATACCAAGCGGCAGTCAGGAGACATGACTCACTGTCTTTGATTTCCCTCCACGACGATCAAGAAGGACATCAGTTTGACTTCGCTTCAACGAAAATTATCGTCCAAGCCCGGTCAAAACACGCCAGGGAATTTCTCGAGGCCTGGCACTCTTCAATCAAGTCAATCGACAGGCACATCGAACTGAATCACGTGTACACGTCAGTGCAACTCAAGGACCAAATGACGCAACAAAAAAGGTCACGCCGTGACCTGAGAACGGACCGAAACCGCAATCAGGACTAAAGGACAACCTCCTCCCCTCCCACCCTCGCACCAGTTTAACGGCGAACCGAGTCGAAGACAATGAGAACCAGGGATAAAAATGGTCGGTGGAGAAAAACACATAAANCACTTCACAAGCACTGATGATATCACTTCGGCTGGTGATGAAACGTTTGCAAACAAATTGCCAAGCTCGGCGAAATAGAATTACCGACTCATATTTCAGCTTCTAAATATCCGGCTCCTATTACCCGAAAATAAATCTTTTAGGTCATGTAATTTTGTTCTTTTCACTACGACAGCGTGCGATTCACATTTTTATTTTCTCTGAAGATGTAAGCCTCAGTTTCAAGATTCATAATTAGCCCGTTGTTTCCAGTAATCATCGTAACTGTTTTTTAACTTTCATTCGATTGTACTGTGTCGTGTAGCAAGACGCATTTCCTTTCGTTTTCGAATGTGGTGTGCTCTCCCTAAAGGATGACTCCCGTTTCGTGGTAAGATCATTATTTGTGTTCAAA